TGAAGCACAAAAGGATCCTGGTCTCATATCTCTTCTGCACAGAGGCTACATCTTTTATTTTTGTGGAGAAATGAGGGGACGAACACAGACTGACTAATAACCGTCACTATTCCATGCAATGCTATTGCACAAACCTCAGAGGCACGGCAGACACCTAGGGTGGGCTTTTTGACTTCCACTGTCTATGGGGACATCTATATCTGGGCCAGTCACCCTATGTTTCCTTCACAGCAGGGAGAAATAGGCACTCCTAGGGCATAATTCGTCTGAGCTGTCTTAGGTGTTGACTTCAGGATGAGCTCAGCTGTCTTTTTGAAGCGCCTGCTTCTCTAGGTTGATTTTAAAGAGACTTTAGACAATTAGCTGAGCTGCGTCTTTGTTCCAGATGTCTATATTGGGTCAGATTAATCTTGCTTGGCAACCTGAAAACTTTCCTGTAAGACAAGCCTCGCACTGAGACAAAGGAATATATAAAACTCTTGGTGAATGGGAAAATGGTTATTCCTGGGGATAACCACAGTGACAGTTATTGTCATCTAGAGAATACAAAGAGCTGAGGACAATAACTGAGTGATAAAGCATCCTTCTTGTCTTTTCAATGCAGCTTGTTCATTTTGCCCACTTTCTCTGTCAAATACTATCTGTGAAGTGATGTCATGTATAATCATGTCAACATGCAAAAATACACAACTCGGTGAAGCCAGAACTCTCTCTGATCTTTAAGGCTTTGGCTCTTGATGATACTAAACCTTTCTTGAGATCAGGACCTTGGAAAGGTGGTATTACTGCAGCCTGGATGGTCTGGGCAAGCATAAACATATTTGCTAAGAACCAGCCTGCCTTTGACTTACACAAATGTGTAAGTCTCTTAGTGCTGGCTTGAAACAAACCACAGCTATGGGGAGCTTGAGAAAGGTGGGAAAGGATCGGTTAACCATGGCTCCCCTAGAATTAAACAAAAAGGATACAGTCAAATAGGGGCCTGTTCACTAGTTCAAATCACGACCCCTAGGTAAAAGCATGCATACATTTATGAAGAGACAATCTTTCAAGCTCCAAAGGTGGCACACTGGGGGTTGCAATAAAGATCTTGTTGTTGAGAAGGACATGTAGTCCATCCATACCTCAGGGGTGGGTAGGGGGATCACCACCAGCAGGGCCTAGGAGTGTGTAAACATTTTAAATATTTATTTGACTTCTGAGTTATTGTGTATGTTGGTTATTAGTCCAAAAAAGTTACAGTTGTCCTCTGTTCTTGCAAATGTATCTTTTAAATGTGTCAGCACATGCTGAGAGCAAAGAATAATGGTTTTGTTCTACCAAAGAAAGTAAATAACTACTGTTTGTGATCAAGGGAAGTAACGTTTCCGGCGCTGCGGCCAGCACAAGGAACGTGACATTAACAAATAAAAAGGGAGCTCTGACTACACTGCTGTATCTTTAACGGTGCAATTAGCCTGCACTGATGGAGCAGGGAGATGTTGCAATGGCCCAGATTCCGCAGCCTGCGCTGCTATCTACGGCTGTAGGTGCCAAGCCCTTGAAGGCAATATTCGCATTGCTCCACTGCAGTCACTATTTATGCTACCAGGGACAGGGATTTACTGGAGGCTTCAGAATATTCCACGGATTGTAATGAAATCTGGCATGTCATCAAGCCACATCCGGCAAACCGTCAGTATTTTACTGCTGAACAGATTTCTTGCAACACCCACCATTCTCCCTTTTCCTGAAAGAAGCTCTCCACGCTTGTGATCTAAACAAATTCATTTCTCTATTGCTCACAGGTTTGAAGCAACAGACATATAGCAAACTAACAGTTTTACAAAGGCGCTGTTTCATCTGAGGGATCCAGCTGGCTGGGAATAGAGAATGAAGGGCAGGGGGGTTCTGCCTCTGGACCATTGTCCTTGGACAAACTGATGGACTTACCCATATCTCTGCCTTGCTTTGCAGCCCTACCAGGAACCACGCACATCTAACAACCGCAGGGCTGGGGGAAACCTCAGCTAAGGCTTTTCTAAGGTGGGAGACTTGCACCAAAGGCAAACACCTTGGGTAAGAGAGGAGAGCCCCATGGCACAGGTCTGAGATAAGCCACAGCAGGTAGGTCCCAAACAGCAGGCAGTGCCTAAGCACCAATACCCGAGGAAGGGAAGCTCAGGGAGAGGGTGTTCCCACTGGAGAACAGCCCGGCTGAAAGGCAGGGTGCGGTCTGGAGGCAGACCGAAGTAAGATGGTTGGAGATGAGTATTTGGTAAATCAATTGGTTGTGAGCTAGCAGGAAGCAGCTGGCTCGTCCTGCTCTATGCTATGCTGTAGGGCAGTTTCAATCATTGTCATGAAGCCCTGGGTTCCTGCATAACTCAGCTGGTATAAGTAAGCAGATTAATGGCCCGGACCTGAACCATATCTTAGGCAAAAAACCACTGACTTTGACATACACAACACAATAATTTCACAGCCAGGACCACCACAAAATGTTCTGTGAGCAAAAGTGTAATGAGGCTGCTGGTGGATGGAGTACTGATAAGTAGAGATGCAATACAACACACACAACAATATTAAAACATAAATACCAATAGTTTTCTGAAAGTGCTGATAAATCGGGATCTGTATCTTGTTTCACAAGGCCACATCCACACGAGTTTGACCTCATACCTGAAAATACTCATTCTACTCACACGGAAGGCAGCAGTGATTACACAAACCTTTACTTATTCTGATTTCGAATTCGGAGACACCTCCTTTTCAATGGTGGCTCCAGATCCTCTGGCCCTGTGCTGAGTATTGGCGTTGAGATAATGCACGGTGCGATAGCAGTCTTTTCTGCTGGTTTTGGCACAGGCTGGATCACGCAACCTGTCTTGGGCAGCATCCGCAAAGCATACGCATGGTCCTCATCTGCTGGATTGTTAAGGTTCGGGTCCTGTTTGTCTCCCCCAGCGAGGGGCTCTTCCCCAGTCTTCTTGCCAGCATCTCCCTCAAGAAGGCAGTTTGATGCACAGTTGTTTTCCTTAACAGACTCCAGCTCGCTCACCGCCAGCTCCTCCGGGGGCTGGGGCTTTTTCGGCTCCTGGGGCGGCTCCAGGTTCTTGGAACCCTCCGTGCTCTTCGTGCCATTCACAATGACGTTGCACACCGCTGCACCACCTTCCAGTCCTGGCGTGCTGGAGGCCAAGGAGACGGGACAACAGTGAGCTCCGTCACTGCACGGTAATGTTTTTGAGTCAACTGGGCTGCAGTTGTCCCTGCAGTCGCTGCAGTTCCTTTTGTCTGAGCTACCAAAAGCCAAATTTACAACACTGTTAGTTTCACGTTCAACTTTCACTTGGGCGTGTAAAGCCCTGTGGATAACATTGTGCAGCCTAGACCGGTGGCCTACTGTTAGGTCTATCACACCGTCCTGTGGACCCTGTAGCACACTGGGGAAACCAAATTTACTGTTCACTGGACTACTAGGTCTGACAGTCAAGTCAACAACTTCATTTTTACTGTGCTCCTGAAGCACTTGAGCTTGATTTAGGGACTGGCCTGAGCAGCTCGGTGATGAGTCAGAGGATTTAGACGATCCTTGCTTTGACTCTCGAGGGGATGAAGAGCTATTGGTTGGCTTTGCCCCGGGCGTCTCACTGGAGGTACTCGGAATGAAACTTTCGCCGTTGCTGGAGAAGCCATTGGGGGGTTTGGAGTCATTGATGTGAGGGATGGGGATGGGAATGGGGATGGGGACGGGCAAAGGGACAATGACAGGGTATGGCACTAGTAGAGTCGGGGGTGGCACCAGCGGGGCAAGGGATGGCAATCCAAAGTTCATCATCTGTGGCATAGGCATAGGACCATTTGGCATCATGCTGACAGGGGGAAAGGGAAGACTGGGCAAAGGAGCTCCAGGAGGGGGAGGCGGCAACAAGCCTGGAGGATTCCCAGGCATGGTAGGTGTTGTGGGGGGATGGATATGAGGGGAAAGCATCGGCCTGTGCATGGGGCTAGAGGTGGGACCCATATTTCTGGGACCACCTGGCGGGGGACCGATTCCAGGAATCATTGGATTTGACAGAGGGCTGTTAGGATTTGAGGCATGGTGAGGCGGCCCACGAATAAATGGTGGACGGATTTGCTGCATAATTTGCTGTTCCATGAATATGGGCAGAGGAACTGGCCCACGGTTTGTCATCACCATGGGAGGACTGCGAGGTGGGACACCAATTGGAGGCACAATGCTAGCAGGTGGCTGGACAGAAACTGGTGGAATATTTGGATTCTCACTGATGGGAATAGGTTTGGGAACTGGCGTGGGGATTTTAGTGACAGAGCAGTTGGCAGCGTCAGACGGAGAGGCAGTGGTAGACGCTGATGGTCCAGGACCTTGAATTTGGCCAGCTGCAGACGCTGGGGATGGGGCTTTTCTCCGAGCATCTGCTAGCGGTATATTCCAAGAATCTGGAGTCAGCAGCTGCACCCCAGTGCCTTCTGCTTTATTTTCGACTGGAGGATGTAATGTACTGCACAGTCCAGCTGGAAGATTGGCCTGTGTCTCTTTGTAGAAAATGTCCATTTTGTACTGATTGAGACATTTTGCACTGCAGAACTGAAGCCTTCTTTCCCCGTCCCCAAAATCCAGATACTCTTTTGTGTGTCTTATGTGCTTACACCAGTCACATACCTACAACACAGTAATAAAATCAAATCAGGTAAGAAAAACAATCTTCTCTTCATAGTGTTATTTCAAAAGCAATTTTTCAGTTGCTTTCTAAATACTCACAACATGTTTCTACCAGAAAAAAAAAAAAAGTTACATTTGTGAAAATGATGCTTTTTTTTCTCCAAACTACTGGTGAATTGAATGTCACTCCCTCTTCTGGCTCCCATGATCTCAATTCTACCTTAACATTATACATTATATATCTCAAACCTATACCACAGAGAAGAATCCTCAGCTGGCATAAAGTAGTGTCATACGCGTGTGTAACTATACAAAATCCATACGAGTATGGCTGTGATTACTCCTCAGTGGTAATGTAAGCACACCTATACCGCCTAGGATGCCATGCTACACAAGAAATATGGTAACTGGAAAAGGACTCAGGAAGTTGCTGGAAAGGAATGCAAATCATTTCTGCTAAACTGCAGCACGCTGTAGCATTTAGTATTCTATTAAGAGTATCAAATAGAAAGTTGGAAAGGGTGCGGTATTTTAAAATGGCATCATGAAGCTAAAAGCATCATTCATCCTTTGCCCTTCATTCCAAGAAGAAACTTGGAAATAGTCAGGACATTTGTGTGAGGTTCGAATAGTCCCAGTTCATGATGTTTCGGCAAGCTGGAATTATTTTCTGAGCTGTTTGCCCACTCTTGTGTACGAGTCACTTTGAGTAAAACTTTTTGGCAAGCAAGGGTCTATTTAGCAACTTTTAAAATACTACAGCAAAAAGTTTGCGTTGCAAGCTCATTTTTATTTTGTTTCTCTGCTTTCCATTTAACCCATTTCTGTGTTACTATTGGTGTGGTGAAGGCACAGTCAATTTTTTTTGAAGTAAGGCTGCAGAACTAATTAAGCTGTGAAAGGTTTTCCCAATTGTAAAACACTAGACAGCAAAGTTCAAAAAATAGTCATTCTAGGCTTCAGAATCCATTACTTCAGAGAAATTATTGTGATTTCATTAACACATTAATTTTGCAACACCAACAGCTCTCACAGATGGTGAAGACATGATCTACAATTCAAATATGACTCTTGTTTGCACAAATGCCTTTCCTTCATATGGCATTTTAAACAAGAATTAATATGAGTAATCTTGCCATAGCTATAAACAGATAAACAGATGTCAGATTTTTCAGTGCCTTACTTTTTTGACAGAATTTTACACACACAAAACCCCCATTTTTGTCATTTACATTAGTTCTCAAAATACTCCGCTGACAGAGACTTTTGGTGCTTTCTATCGGCACATTGAGCCTATGACCATGTCAGAATACATCCTGGTATTGTTTGTTCTGCCTTTTCTAAATAGCGCATATTACCTTGCTTTGAAATTACTATATCTTTTGTACAAAAAAGAAAAAAAGAATATGATTGTGAAGACTGCATTAAAAGGATAATTAATTTTAATAACTATTGGCCATATAAACAATTCCAAACAACATATGTCGGGCATCTGATTACCCATCTCATTTAACTCTCAGCTTTCCTTTAATATAAACAGTGGTGACATTTTTGAGTTTTCTATAATATATCTTTAATATATATATACACACACATATACACACCCACACCCCTTGTATGCTATAGCCATTAGCCTGTTTATTTTAACTCTGCAACCTTTCGGTTAGCCGGACGGGTTGCTACTTGATTCCCTCTCCTGCCTCCCCACCTCATTCACACACTCACACACACATGCTCCCTCTCTCTACCACGAAGTTTTTATCCCAACATTTAAATCCAACTAAACAATTACTTGAGAAGTAGCACCTATTAAGTCTGCACTGAACGCACGCTGACGATGTAGCGCCCTAAAAAACGTGGACAAAAAGGCTGCCAAATGCACAGAAGAGCCGAGATAAACGCCTCCGCTGCCAGGGCACGTGCATCCCCCCACGGCGTAGGGTGGGTGGGAAGCAGGAGCGCACAGAGGAAGGCAGAGCGGGGGCACCTCCACCTCCAAGGGCCCCCGGGTTTTACCAGGCATCGGCTCTCCCTCTGCTCCCCGCAGGAAGGCTCAGCAGCCGTCGCAGACAGCACCGGAGCCGGGCAACCCCTCGCCGCAAATAGTGCAAGCGCGCAGCAGTGGGCACTGAACCATCCCGGGTATTTGGCATGGGTACGGGTTCTGCCACCCACCTGGCAAATCAACACAGGACGATCTGATGGAAACACCTTTTAACTGACCTCCTGAAATGTTCTGACTTGCTGCTATTTTCCAAGCAGACAAAAGGGGAATTTGTGAGTCTACACCGCAAGTTAATAAGGTACTGTATAACTCAGTAAAGCTGCTGAATTGACCTTTAAGTCATTTTTGATCGAGAGCTCACTGCTGTAGCCACAAAATGCTATCTTTTCGCATGTATGGAATCAGGATGTGAACCACTGCGCTCCGTCTGCTGCTTGCAGGGCATGCTTTTGCGCCAAGGGCTGTATGAAGAGGTCCCAGGAGCTCCCAGCCTGAGGAGGGCTAGGGGATGAAGCCCACCCCAGCCCATCACCCACCAAAACATGTCTGCTTGCAGGGGAAAGACAAGGAGGAGACTGGTCCTGGAGGTGACTGCTGTAAGGGATGGGGCAGGACTCCAGATGCAGCTGCTTCCCTGATTTAGTCCTGGGATAGTGCAGCTAAGATGTGCCCTTCCTTCGGAGCAAAGGAAGCAAACCGACTTGTAAGCCGGCTGCCAAAGAAGCACCTGAGAAATACAAGAGAGTAAACCCAGCCTCCTATCTTTCTAGGAAGAGCTCCCTCAATGACTTTAATTAAACAGACTGAAAGAAAAATACAGCCCCCAAAAAACCTGTGACATCTTTTCTAATCATTTAATTTTATTAGTTATCAGTTGAAAAATTCACTGAAATACTTTAGTGTTTTATTGCTGTATTGATTTGTTCATCTCAAGTGGGCTCCTATGTCACTCCTAGCTAAACAAATATTTTCTCTTCCTCGGTAAAATATTTAGAAATCCTGCTTAAAAATTCTATACTGATTTCTCCTGTTTTCAATAATTCACTGAGGTACAAGAAACCCTGAAGTCTGCCTGCCTCACTCACATATTAAACACAGACTGTTCTGTATATTTTATCACTAGATAAAATTAATTATAGCCACAGAAATTAAAGGTGGTGATTCCATTCCTCTGAACATCCTGGATGGACCAAAAATCAAATAATTACCTCATTGATTTTATGCAACCTCTCAAAGTGTTGAAGTTAACATCAGTGACAAAAGTCTATGTACTACACCCATGTATTTCATTATTTTCTATCTATCCATCTATCTTGAGCAATCACTTTATGCTGCTTATTTAGGATACAAGTATAAAATGTGCATGTCGTATGCCGGTAATATGACACCTTACAATATCATACTAAAAGGCAGAAAAACAGTCCCTACGATGAGGAGGAAATTACTGGAGGAGAAAAAGTGTCACTTAAGAATTAATGAATCAAGTCTGTCTTACAGGATTGATCATTTAAGATGAGGTCAATGAATTTATGATACAAATGGCTGTATCACCGAGACGTAATAAAATGGAGCAATATCATTCATTTTACATCTAACTAATGACATGCTCAGAGTAATTACAGACTTATTCTAAAAGCCTGCACTGATTAGTTCAGATGTGATAGGTGAAACCTATATTTTTCCGTTCAATAAAATAACATTTTCCTATCTATAAAACACACAGCCAATGTCTTATTTTTTTAAGTACCTGTGTTCTGTACAGAATACCATCATTCTTCACAACCAGCTCAAAATCCCTCTCTTCATTTATTCCTTCTGCTCCCCTTTTCCTGCCTCATCCTTTCCCTTCACCATACAACCAAGAGAAGAGCTAAACTGTTGCAGGGTGCTTGTCAACGCTGCGTATTGGATGCGGCAGTGCTTACGCACGGGAGTAGCTCCCTGGTTTCAGCGCGATTAGCCACGAGAGTTAATGCTGCAGGATCACACTGGGAGGGTCTGACCGAGCACTTGTGGAAACCAATGGAGAGACTCCTCTTTAACGCAATCAATCGGCTTTGGGTCTGGTGCTTAACGCCGGCCTCCGCTCACCCAGGAGTCGGCAGGAGCCTTGCCCCTGACCTCAACAGGAGCAGAGGCATGGCCAGGGATGTTGGAAGGAGCTGCGGCAGAAAATCCCATAGCACAGGCTAACAAAAGGAATACACGAGAAGAAAACAAATGCCACGAGGCCGAGTTTCAGACATTTCACACTTCACACCGCGAATGCCAGAACACAAACCCTGAATGACAGAAAGATCAGTAATAAGATAACTGCCTATCTCATTCAGCTGTAACACAACAACCCTCAAGAAGATTAAATTTACCTAACTGGGGCATGTCCAACGCTAAACAACAGAATGAACATTTCCTTCAGTACATTTAATGTATTTATATTTTAGTGGCGGGTTGCCAGTGTGCTACTTATAAGCTCAATGACTCGATATCATTCATCCGCTTTCCTGTGAAACATGCAGCAACCTACACCAGGAGACAACTCAGAAGACACTGCATCAGCAGAAACACGACTCGTGCCCGATACGGGAACACCGAGGAAGCCGAGACTGAGAGATCCTCTAACACTCGGATTTCTCTAACACAAAGAGGGGAAAAAAAACATTCCTATTGGCATCTATACCTTTATTTTGATAGATATGTCCAAAGCCGAGTCCAGGCTTAGCCACAAGATTGCCCCACAGGCACAAAACAGGCATCCTGCTGTGTTTAAAAGGGCCACACTTGGGCTTTAGGCACAGGGTAATTAATACTTCCGTTGGCTGTCAAATGCAGACACAAAGTTAATCCACGAGTGCAGTCCACCACTAACCTCTGAACGATAATCTAGTATCAGACACTACTTCATTATGAAAAATTATTTCTAAAATCTGTCTGTGGAGGTATTTACACCAGTCCGACAGAAACCAGGGACGAGCAACGTGTGAACACCACCGCTGCG